GCAACTGTTGCTCGGCTTGCTGCTCTTGTTCCTCGGTTTGCTGCTCCTTAGGCTTAAGAACAGGCGGCAATTGTTGCTCGGTTTGCTGTTCTTGAAGCTTTGGAACAGGCGGCAATTGTTCTTCGGCTTGCTGCTCTTTAGGCTTTGGAGGTGGCTGCAACTGCTGCTTGGCTTGCTGCTCTTTAGGCTTTGGAGGTGGCTGCAACTGTTGCTCGGCTTGCTGCTCTTGTTCCTCGGTTTGCTGCTCCTTAGGCTTAAGAACAGGCGGCAATTGTTGCTCGGTTTGCTGTTCTTGAAGCTTTGGAACAGGCGGCAACTGTTCCTCGGTTTTCTGCTCCCTAGGTTTTGGAGGTGGCTGCAACTGTTGTTTAGTTTGTTGCTCCTTAGGTTTTAGAGGTGGCTGCAACTGCTCCTCGGTTTGCTTCTCCTTAGGTTTTGGAGGTGGCTGCAACTGCTCCTCAGTTTGCTGCTCCTTAGGCTTTGGAGGTGGCTGCAACTGCTCCTCGGTTTGCTTCTCCTTAGGTTTTGGAGGTGGCTGCAACTGCTCCTCAGTTTGCTGCTCCTTAGGCTTTGGAGGTGGCTGCAACTGTGTCTCGGCTTGCTGCTCCTTAGGCTTTAGAGGTGGCTGCAACTGCTTCTCGGCTTGCTGCTCCTTAGGCTTTGGAGGTGGCGGCAACTGCTCCTCAGTTTGCTGCTTTTTTGTCTTTGGAACAGGCTGCAACTGCTTCTCGGTTTGCTGCTCTTTAGGCTTTGGAGGTGGCTGCAACTGTTGCTCGACTTGCTGCTCTTTAGGCTTTGGAGGTGGCGGCAACTGCTCCTCGGTTTGCTGCTTTTTTGTCTTTGGAACAGGCGGCAATTGTTCCTCGGCTTGCTGCTCCTTAGGCTTTGGAGNCTTTGGAGGTGGCGGCAACTGCTCCTCGGTTTGCTGCTCCTTAGGCTTTGGAGGTGGCGGCAACTGCTCCTCTGTTTGCTGCTCCTTAGGCTTTGGAGGTGGCTGCAACTGTTGCTTGGCTTGCTGCTCCTTAGGTTTTGGAGGTGGCTGCAACTGTTGCTCGGTTTGTTGCTCCTTAGGTTTTGGAGGTGGCTGAGACTGTATCTGAAGTATTTGCTGCGTTTCCTTCTGCTTATGTTGTTGATGTTGCTGCTGAGGTTTTGGAAAATGCTGCAACTCTTGCTGACCTTTCTGCTGCGCTTCCTTTCTTTCATACTGCGGATGTCGCTGCTGAAACTTTGGAAGATGCTGCAGCTGCTGCTGAAGTTGCTGATG